CAATGAGCTCGCTGCTCAACATTCAAATATATGACTAGTGCTTGCCGTAGCAGTTGCAGCTTGCTTCAGAAACCCTCCACCTTCCCCAGCTCCACCTGTATAGATCTGCTACGAGGTGATTCATGTATGCTATATGGGGGTTATATTTTATATTTAAATATTGTTATATTTGCAGCAGCAATATTTCTTACATGCTAACAGCAGCATGTTGTTGATGTATTGGCAGTAGCAAGTCTCGGTACTTGCTCTGCAGCAGCAGTAGCAGCAGCGTAGCAGATCTATTCCGCCAAGACCAAATGCATTAACATTGTCATGTACATTACCATGCCAGTCCCTCCGAGAGTTGTCATGACAGAAATATGTTTCTGTCCTTACACAGCCTCTTTGATGCAGTCTACTCTTTACTGAAACACAAAATCCACAGGCTGCCGGTCATCGATCCAGAGTCTGGAAATGTCCTTCACATATTGACCCATAAGAGAATCCTCAAGTTCCTTCATATATTTGTAAGACGACTAAATCCAGTAGTTGAGTCTATTTGAACTCATCATTTTACAGTTCAGCATGTTTATAAATGTGTATAAATATGATTTTCTCTTCATCTCCAGGGAGCTGCAGTGCCCAAGCCACGCTTCTTGAAGATGCAAATTCAAGATGCAGGAATAGGAACTTTCACAGATGTGGCGACTGTCTCACAGACAGCCACTGTGTACGATGCACTTTCTGTGTTTGTTGAGCGACGTGTGTCCGCTCTCCCGGTGGTGGATGACGATGGTACATCTAACTCAAAACATAAAGTAAAATAAGTCATGTTACAGGACAACAACAGAATAATTGTGCTTCTTTTTACTTCCATTCCTTCTGTTTTTTTTCTAGGCAAGGTGGTTGCCCTATATTCCAGATTTGACGTGATTGTGAGAATCTTTTCTTCTGTTTTAATTTCAGACATTAAAAGCAAAACTTGCTTATTGAGATATCCTGAAGCCTGTATCGTTTATGGTGATATTTTAGTTGTGTGATACCGTTTCTTTTGGCAGAATCTTGCAGCGCAGAAAACCTACAATAACCTGAGCATGAGCATGCAGGAGGCCATGCGGAGGAGACACTGTTATGTGGAAGGAGTCATTAAATGTTACCCTGATGAGACTTTGGAGACTGTTATTGCCAGAATAGTCAAGGCAGAGGTAAGGAAGTGTATTCTAAACTGTTGTTTGAATTTTATTTATTATATTTTGTTAATTACTGTTTTTAACTATTTTGTTTTAAATGTGTGTTCTGTCGTGTCTTATTTTCACTTTCATTTTATTTTTGAGCTGTTTAATCTTGGTTCTGTGTGCAGGTCCATAGGCTGGTGCTTGTGGACAGAGATGACGTGGTACGGGGAATAATCTCTCTCTCAGACCTGCTGCAGGCCATTGTTTTATCTCCAGCAGGTATCGATGCTCTGTTTTCCTAACCTGTTCCCTCATCTAACCTGCACTAGTATCCAGGTAGGCTTTACTCTGCCTTCCTAGCCCAGCTATGCCAACACTTGCATTGCTACTGCGCATAGTACTAGTCAAACGTTTGGACACACCTACTTATTGTCTATTAGGACTATTTTACACGATTCAGAACAAACATAAAATCATCAAAACTATAAAATAACATGGAAGTATGGGGGGAAAAAAACAACAACTATCTTTTATTTGAAGTGCGTAATGGGAAGTTTTACACACTATTTTATTAATAATAATAATACCTTTTATTTATAGGCGCATTTCAAGACACTAAAGGACACCGTACAATATAAAACAAAACAATAAAAATACAAAACGCGAACGTTATAACAACACATTAAACAAGCAGATCATTAAAAGCTATTCTAAACAAATATGTTTTTATCTGAGCTTTAAAATGGGAAATTGAATCCAGCTGGCGAATGTGCAAAGGTAAAGAGTTCCAAGGAACTCATCTTGAAGTTTGGAACAGACAATAAGTCTGCAAAATATGATCTCAAAGAGCGCAAAGGAGTATACAAATGAAGAAGATTTGAAAGAGGTGCCAAATTATGAAGAGCTTTGTACGTAAGAAGTACAATTTTGTAATGTACACGATAACAAACAGGAAGCCAGTGCAACTGGAAAAGAATTGGAGATAAATGATCAAAAGTACGTGAGCGGGTAATTATCCTAGCTGCTGAATTCTGGATTAGCTGTAATCGATGAAGTTTTTTTATGAATCATTTAGTTTTTCTGTGTTGCATTTTTTTGCAAACGTTTTATTGCAGATGCTATTTTATTGTTTTGTTTTTTAATTACATTTTTATGTTTTGTCATTTTGTTTTATAACAAATGTAATTTTCTTTCGTTTTCTTTTCTTTCAAGTATGTATGTATGTATTTATTTATCTCAAACTATAAAATGTGGAAACTAAAAAAACTAAAAAGTGTTTTATTTGAAGTGCGTCATGGGAAGTTTTACACTCTATTGACTATTGTCTATTGATTCACATGTATGCTCGACATTTGTAGATCATTTTTCTTCACTATCTACTCTAGCTAATTTATTTGGAAGAAATATGTAATAATAATAATAATAATAATAATTGTCATTATATCATACATACTGTAGCATACAATTTCTATTTGCCTAAAAAAAAACATATTTTGAGCTTGTAAGCATGAAGCATACACTCATGAGGAACATACATTCAGTCAGGTGTGTTTAAATGTTTGACTGGTACTGTAAAATAATTACCCCACAGTATTGCGTGCCTTTATTAATATATTCACTTTAGTCATTATATCATCTGATGACATCATGTCTATTGTTATGTGAAGCTCCAGCACCCATCAATCACAGCCACTCCTAATACATTTTGGTTTCCACAGTGATGATGTATTTTCGCTCTACTAGGTATTCACAGCAGTGAAAATAATTGAAAACGCTTATATGCAGTACTAATCATAGAGAATTGCTAATGAATAGAGTACTTTCCGCATGCTTTGTGCATGTGCATGACCTGTTTGTTAGTTGTTTGAATGTTTGAGAATACGCTGGTGGGTCAGGGATGTTACCTGGGGCCCTTTGTTATGGACATTTAACACCAGTGTGGTTGGAAGCACAGTCACTGCCTTGTCCTCTCTGTATTATCTAGTTCAAAAAGCGTGGTAATACCATGCTACTTTTTGTAAGTGTATTCTCTTATCCTGTTTCAGGTTTTTAAAGCAGATATGACTGCAAGCTAGAATCAAGAAAGGATATTTTATACATTATATGTTCATATTGTAAAATGTTCAGTTTAGAGTGTGTAATATATTAAACAAAAAATGTCTCATTGAACTGAGAAATTGTTTATGATAAATGAGTACTGTTGCATTGTGTTTTCTTGTGTGAGTGAGCACTTGGGCTGGGATTTTGATCAAATTGATCATCTAGTTTGTCTTTTGTGCTTTGCTATGATGAAATATATTGTCGGATTATCATGTTTTTTTTTTCTAATAAACAATTCCTTGTGCTCTTTTTTTGCCTGATTGCCTACTCAATAAAAAAAATAAAAACATTAATATAAAAACCAGAGAGAACATCTAAGAGAGAGAGAAAATTAACAACTGTTAATTAATAACTGTTACCTATAGACACAAAGAACACGAAAGTGTTAAAATAAAAATGTTCTTTAATTAATAAAATACTTATTTATTTGATGTCTTAATAAAATTTTAATTATATATAGACAATATATAAATTAATGTTTTTATTAAATATTTAATTTAATGATTAAAATGCTATTTTATGTAAGTGTACTAATAATGGTATTTGGATATTTAATTAAATGTAAATAATTAAATTTACATTTATTTTAATTACATTTTATTAAATAATTTGATTACATTTAATTAATATGTTTTTAACATTTTTGTAAGTTATTACATTTTTTTAATAAATATTTTATATTTAATTACATATATTTTATTTAAATCTTAATAAAATAAAACACAAATACATTATATTTAATGTTACTGAATACATTTATTTACACTGAAATTTAAAATTTCTCTATTTTAAATATATTCTTGTATAAATACAATCTGTTGAAGCCCAGTAATGATAATATCTATTCTCCCTGCTTAATCTATAAAAAAATTATTCATAATTAATAAAAGTATAATTTATAAACAAATATAAACAACATTGAATAAATCAGTCAAATTAAATACAGTAAATGCCAAGTTCAATTCTTGGCATTTGTGTGTATGTGCTGCAGCCAGCAGATGTCACCCATGGGCGCAGTAAACACTGAGCATGTGACACTGTAAGAGCCTGTAAGATCCACGGTCTGTTTCTGTTTTTTCCTAATAATCCATGACGAGCCTCTTCTGACCAAACCCCGTCATCGACACACACAAACAAACAACACTGGACAAGTGACAATGGAGAGCAAACGGGCCTCGGTGTCCTCACTGGCGGGTCTGGAGGCCTGGTTCCCCGCGCCCGGTAGCGCGGAGGATGAGCCGGAGCTGCGGCGGCTTCGGGAGCGGCTGCGCGGGTGGCTGTCGCAGTGTGAACCCGCGGTGATCTGCGCGCAGCGGCTGCTGGTGTGGGAGAGGCCGCTGCACAGCATCATCGCCGCGCTCGCGCTCAACACGCTGTTCTGGTGAGACACGAGCGAATAAAGCTGTTCATTTGGAAGGGACGACGTTAATCCTGACGAGTAGTTAGTAATCTGCTCGTTAGTAGTTGCTTCGGGTCGAAGATCCCCCGTGTTGCTTTTGTGGCAGCTTCGCTATACGCTTACTGTTCTTCGGACATGTGCTAATTTGTTTTGGATACTATCATTACTACAATACCATGGTATTCTTGGGCGACTATGTAAATACCATAGTAATTGTACTTTACCATAGTATACACCATTACTATGGGTTTTGGACATACCATAATATTACTGTGCCATACCATTACAAAAAGTACTACGGCAGTAACTTACCATAGTAACGTTACAGTCATGGTATCAGACGGTAATAACATGGTACTATAAACCATAGTACTGAATGTTTGCCATATTCATATACAGTACAGTACCATGGTATTTACAGTACATGGTACTCCAATATTTAAGAATATAATGATATGTTCAAAAACTATGATAGTGTCTTGTCCAAAAAACATGGTAATACCATGGTACTTTTTTGTAAAGGGTAAACACCATGGTGTATGACTATGGTATGTTATGGGACAAATGCCAGGGTAATACCATGTTTGCTTTGGACATTTACTGCGATATTACTATGAAAATTTTCAAACAGATTTTACCGCATAAATATTTTTTTACCGCAAAAAATATTTTACTGTAGTAATACCATCTGCATCACGGAACTTCCACCGTTTGTTTAATATAACATTAAATATTTATAACAATATAATATGTATTTTATACATATGAATTAAACATAAAAATATAATATATACAATTATATTCATAATTATATAATAATAAACATATAATACATTTCTATATACTCAGTATACAGAAAGATATTTATCTGTCCATAATATTGAAAATGTCTATGTTACCTTTGTTCATTATGGTGATAATATCACAGTTAAACTCTGGTTAGTAGGCAAGAACTATGGTACATTTTCATATATGGGAAATTACATACATGACTTATTTCTGTCATATGTTGTTTTTGTAATTGGATAAGATGCCGATTGTGATGTTTGAACAGATATATGTGTGTTTTAGGCTCCTGTCGTCCACACCTCTGAGACCCTTGTTCCTCCTGAGTGTGTTTCTCATTGGACTGACTTTACTGGAGAGATGGAAAGGCAAGCTGCCGCAGATCACCGGTAATCTATAGATACCACTATATTGTGTATTTGATTCATAGAAACACATACAGAGGCACACCACAGGACTGGAAAATATAGCTTATATAATGTATAACACATGTTTTGCAGCATTGTGAAGATGCGTAATACATTACTCAAATGTATTTGCTCTGAAATGTATTGTTCTAAAATTGGGAACACAATTTTTTAACTAAACAGTCATGGTTGTTAAGTAAATTTAAAATGTTTAAAGCAAGAACTAAAAAGCATTAAAAATGTAGCTAAAATGAAGGCATGTTTTACACACCATTTTCTACTAAATTTAAACATTTTTATTATTTTTATTTATATGCCCCAATGTAACAAAATTAATACACAGCTATATACATTCAATATAAATACATAGATTTTTAAAATCTTTTGAAAGAAGTTACTTTTATAATGCTACAAAATATTTGATTTAATATACAGTATATATGCTGTTCATTTGAACATTCTATTAATCAAGTAATCCAGATAAAATTTATTATCACTTCCACAAAAAATATTAAGTGGCACAACTGTTTTCATTATTGATAGTAATAAGAAATGGCAATGATTTCTGAAGGAGCATGTGACACTGAAGAGTGCAGTAATGATGCTGAAAATTCAGCTTTGCATCACAGAAATAAATTACATTTTAAAATATATTAAAATAGAAAATTGTTATTTTAAATTGAAATAATTATTCACAATATTTCTGTTTTTACTGTATTTTTCATTAAATAAATACAGCCTGTAAAACCTTACAGACCCAAAGTTAGAGACAGTGTTATTGTAAAACATCTCTGTTGTCACGAAACAAGGAGGGATCGCAAAACTAGACCAAGGACACAAACGTAATGGCCAATTAAAATGCACAATTTATGATTCAGCTTAATTTTATATTTTCCACAGAATCATCATGATGTTTTTTTTTTTTTTATGAGAATTGAACATTTTTGAGATTGCATGAACATTTTACCATTAAGAGGCCCATACATTCACAGTTTGTTGTAGGAACCTCTTTTGCTCTTACTGTTTGCTCCTCTGTTCTCTACAGTGTGGCATCCAGAGGCGTCTGTCGTTGAGCGGTATGTGTCTTGAATAATCTCTGCGTGTCTCAACAGCACCCCCGTCCCCTAAGTGTTTGGACTGCTCAGTTTCATAGTTTTCCCTTTGCTGTATCCTAAGATTGTTTCCTTATTAAATAAGTTTAAATTTGTCCTAACTGCACAAGTTAATTTGTAAATGCTGTTACAGAGAAATGCTAAGTGAGCAGCCACATTTATTAAGCGTCGAGGAGCTCAGCTACAGATCTTCTTTATGCACCAAGAGCTTGTAACACTCCAAAGAGAAAGGAAAAATTGAAATCGCATCATATGACCCCTTATACAAATAACACAAAAGTGATAAATCTGTCTTTATTCAACCTCATGTCATTCAAAACCTTAAAAGTCTACAACGTTTAAAAGTTCAGGGTCAGTAAGATATATATTTGAATTTAATAGTTTTCTTCAGCAAGGCTGCATTAAGGTGATCAAAAGTGAGAGTAAAGACATTGACAAGTTCTTTTGTATTCATCAAAGAATCATGAAAAAATGTATCACTGTTTCCACAAAAATATGAAGCAGCACAACTGTTTTCAACATTGATAATAATAAATGTTTCTTGAGCAGCAAATCAGCAAATTAAAATGATTTCTGAAGGATCATGTGGCACTGAAGACTGGAGTAATGAATGCTGAAAATTCAGCTTTGCATCACAGAAATAAATGACATTTTAGAATATTTTCAAATAGAAAACAATTATTTTAAATCGTAACAATATTACACAATGTTTTACTGTATTTTTGATCAAATAACTGCAGCCTTGGTGAGCAGAAGAGACTTAGATTTAAAAATCTTACCAACCCCAAACATTTTATGTCCAGCATGTGTTTACTGATCAGTCGTTCTGTTTCTCCTCATCAGTTCTGCATCATGATGTGTTCTGGATGTGTCATGCTGGCCGTGGTTGGACATTACGTTCCTGGGATTATGATCTCCTACATCATATGTGAGCAAACTTCCCTCGGTTGTGTTTGTTGATTTCCATACATTACTTTTACACACACTGCTGCCCTTTTGCACCAGCTACTCAAATTGCGCAACACACAGCTATTCGAGTCCACCCCTGCACTTACGTAACACTCTGGTTGTATTTTGCATTGCTATAAAGAAGCAAAACAAAAAGATAAATATATCACCCAGAGAGGAAAAATATATTGCCAGCATTTCTGTTTGGCTGGGTTAAAAAATTCAGTCACATTTAAATACAGAAATGTAACGGCTGGACAAATCAGACACATTATTATTTGTTATATTTAACAAATAATCCAACAGACCCCCTCACCCAACAACCGGACTGGGAGCCGGGTTTTCTGTGAAAGACCCCCCCAGGCCACTGGTTACCATGGCAGCCAGGACACATTTCAAGATAAGACTGGCTTTATGGCCCAATAGAATTCACTTCACCCCACTGGAAGTCACTTCGAAACAGAGTAACAGACACATACTGCCCATAGGAAAACACTTCTTTCATTCATTCATAGCAAAACCTTTCTATGGGGGATTGTTCTCCTTGGTAGAAATCGCGGCCCGGAGGCACCTAGATTGTACGTAAAGGGCATTTTAGTGTCGGTGATTAAAGTGGCAGGGGCTTGAGCCCCCCGGCCTCCCCCCTGTGCAAGGCACTGGTGTGTATTATTACTGTTCTTGTAGGGCTGGGCGATATAGCTAAAACATGTATCAACGAAATAATGTTTCATATCGTTCGGTATCGATAATTATTGACATTTTTTATAACCTTTTTTAAAAAGAGCAATAGAATTTTTTTTTTTAATTTAACCACTGTATTTTTAAATTAACCCAATTTATTGAGACAAACAACAAATATTGTCTTTTGTATTGTATACTGTTTTATGCATGCGTTATGATAGTCGACATAACCTCTCACCTATACCATGTTTGGTATCTACGAATTTGTATTTTGAAGATCTAAATGATAGGGTATATTATAGGTTGATGCCTATGCAACATATTAGTATTACAAGAATCTTTAATAGTTTTTGCATCAACAACCAATCCAGTTACATATGCAAAACACCATGCTAGAAGACAAAGAGTCATAAACTTTCCCTCCGAAAATGTGTTACCATTGGCTCACTGACCCCCTGGAGGTGTGACCTCCACAGAAGTTAAAAGGCCTCACATCTGTGACCCGGACTCTCTTCTTCGGCACTCTTACCTCCTTGCCTCTCGGACATCCAGTTCATCCGCGCGACCTGCAAGGAATCCCCAACGCTGGCAGAACACCAAAGTTGCAGCAAGCCATGTTGCAACTTTTCACCTGGGATAGAACTGTCCTGGCCACCAGAACAAAGAACATCTTTGCAGTTTGTCACTCGTCAAAATTAGTTTTATGAATTAAATGCATTTTCATTTTGGACAAGAGACAGTTACCAGTTCAACCGCGACCTGCAAGGAATCCCCAACGCTGGCAGAACACCAAAGTTGCAGCAAGCTATGTTGCAACTTTTCACCCTGGAGAGAACTCTCCCAATCACTACCGAGTCAGAGTAACATCTTTTGGAGTTTGTCACTCTTCAAACCCGGAAGAACGCGATTGCAATTCCAACACCATCGAATTTTCGAACCATCAAGACTTTCACCCGAGACTGCATCCGGACGCTCGTTCAACGGCCAAGACAATGCAAGTATCGTACATTTAACTAAACGAAACAGAGGTTTTGTATAAACTGTAGACCCCGTTGTCAAACAGCGCTGATGGTTTCACTCAGGTGGTTAACTGCCTCATTTTCACAGCTTCATTCCCTGTTTCTCTAATGGTTTCATTCAGTCTCATTTGCCCTTCCCTCATGTATGTGTGATTGTATGTTTGTTTGTTTTGACTAGTTATGTGTTAGATTAGTTAAAACTTTTTTGTGCATAAATTACTTGAGTTTCTGATTCTGTCACTGCTTGTGGATAATGTCCCTTTAACGATCCGATCTTGTCACATGCTCTACAAATTACTTGAGTTTCTGATTCTGTCACTGCTTGTGGATAATGCCCTTTAACGATCCGATCTTGTCACATGCTCTAATGCTTCTGTGGCCACGAAAATATAATTTCTTAGATTTGATATGAAGTTACACTGAATGTTCGATGGACGAACAGATTAGTTGATGGTAATATTAATTCTGCAACAGTTACTACTGGCAACTGATATAAATAATTGTAATTATAATTAATTGTAATTATTTATATACATTTCTCTTTTGAGCTAATTTGCTACAGAAATGAGCATCTTTATACTACAAAATCTGCATACTACAACAATTCAAACAGGTGTCAAAACAAAGTAATGTATTGTCTTTTGAGTGAATTTTATTAAAGAAGATGGGGAACATATTTGGGTCATATTTTACCATGAAATCAAAAAGAAAAAGATTTGAAATTAAATAAAAATTTGAATTAAGAAAAAAAGCTTGGAAGGCTTTTAGGATTTTAAAGATGTTTTAAATTATGTTTTTTTATTTAAATATATTTTGTCATTTGGGGTCAGTAAGATTTTTTAATGTTTTTGAAAGGGTCTTATGCTCATCAAAGCTGCATTTATTTGATCTAAAATGCTGTAAAAACAGAAATATTATGTAGTATTATTACAATTTAAAATAACACTTTTCTGTTTTGCTACAATTTAAAATGTAATTTATTCCTGTGACGCAGAGCTGAATTTTCAGCATCATTACTCCAGTTTTCAGTGTCACATGATCCTTCAGAAATCATTCTAATATGCTGATTTGCTGCTCAAGAAACATTTCTTATTATTATCTTTGATGAATAGAAAGAACAGCAAAAGAACAGCATTTATTTGAAACAGACATCTTCTGTAACATTATAAATGTCTTTACTGTCACTTTTGATCAATTGAATGCATCCTTGTTGAATAAAAGTAGTAATTTCTTACAAAAAAAGTTACTGACCCCAAACTTTTGAATGGTACTGTATGTAGCGGTTAATTGTATTTTTCTCTGTCCTGCATTAGTGCTGAGTGTGCTGCTGTGGCCGCTGGTGGTTTACCATGAGCTGATCCAGAAAATGTACACCGGACTGGAGCCCATACTGATGAAACTCGACTACAGCATGAAAGGAGACACACAGCTTGAATAAATAATCCCTAATATTATCTGAATCCTATATTGGACTGATAACAACAATAAAAACTGTTCAATATTGGTGCCAATATATTGTGAGCTCTTGCTGCTGATATCACAGTTGTAGACTCTGCGCAAACCAGGTTGTTAGTGTGTCACTTCCTGTTAGATTGTGCTCAGGAGATGTGTGTGTTTGTGCAGAGCTGAAGAAGGAGCAGGAAGAGGGTGATGAGCCGAGGGCAGAGACGGAGAGCGAGAGCGAGGAGGAGCTGTCATGTTTCACCCCTACTGTGAGTGTCCTGATACAGGATGCTTAGTTTCATGTTTGATGATGAGGGGACTCACTATATCCCATCTTAAAGGGGCCATATTCTATATGTAAACTTTTAGAACTGGTAAATTTTTCAGCATCATTACTCCAGTCTTCAGTCTGATACTTTTGTTTTTTTCAGTATTTTTTGGTGAATAGAATGTTCGCTTCAATAAACTCCTAATTTACTAATAAACAGCCAATATGCTAGTAATATGCATGCTAATAAGCAACTAGCTAATAGTGAGAATTGTGAAGCCCTAAACTAAAGTGTTATCGAAAGTTCAAAAGAAGAGCATTTATTTGAAATGGAAAACTTTTGTAACATTATAAATCTCTTTACTGACACTTTTGATCAATTGAATGCATCCTTGTTGAATAAAAGTATTCATTTATTTCCAAAAAAAAAAACACTAGTGAACAGTAGTGTAATTCTGGTCACTGATTGGTTCTTTCTTCGAGCAGGTGGATGTGAAGACTACGGCTCTGGCGATGGCCATCACAGACTCTGAGCTGTCCGATGAGGAGGCGTCCATACTGGAGAGTGGAGGATTCTCTGTATCCAGAGCCACCACACCACAGCTCACAGACGTCTCTGAAGGTACTCAACGCTTTTTCATGTGCATGAAGAGTTTAGTCCGACTGATTCAAATAAATGGGTCAGTACCACAGACGACAAACATTTAACAGACGTTCTTTACTGCATACACTACCAAATGTTTTCAAATGTTTGGGGGTCTATATATTTTTCTTTGAAATGTTTTTGACTCTCTTATGCTCACCAAGGCTGCATTTATTTGATCAGAAATACAGTAAAAACAGTAATGTTGTAAAATATTACAATTTAAAGTAACCGTTTTCTATTAGAATATATTTTCAAATATGATTTATTGCTGTGATGCAAAGCTGAATTTTCAGCAGCCATTACTCCAGTCTTCAGATTTGCTGCTTAAGAATAATTTCTTCTTATTATCAATGTTGAAAACTATTGTGCTGCTTAATGTTTGTAGAAAGCATAATACATTTTTTTTCAGGATTCTTTGATGAATAGAAAGTTCAAAAGAACAGCCTTTATTTGAAATAGAAATCATTTGTAACATTATAAATGTATTTACCATCACCTTTGATTAATTTAATGTATTCATTTCTTTCAAAAACAAAAAAAATCTTACTGACCCCAAATTTTTGAATGGTAGTGTATAATAACATAATGTAAAATAACATATTTTAAAAATATTTTCTTTAACTGTCGAATTGTACCTAAAAAGTGGTTAGATTTTTACTGAGCAATAATGCCAATATAAATTAGAAACATTAGTCAAGATGAAATCAAAATTTACACTATTTACTTTGTTAGCGTACATTGCTAGTCTTAATGATTAATCCATGCAAGTTATTCCACTGAAAAAATTTTTTGTCCTGGTAATATTTATCAAAATCTGATCATTTGCTTCCAGTCGGTAGCTACTTCCAGTTCACACGGACTTTAAATGCTATGTTGCGAAAAAGTTCTGAGCTAGTCCAGACTGTATGCTAATAATAAAAGCCTCTTTTATGAAACACAGGCAACAAATATTTGTGTAATAATTAGGGCTGTCGCGATAACTGCAATATCGCAATACCGCGCTATTGACAAGCAAACCGCAGAGGAATGCAAGCACCGAAGCAACCGCGATTTTTGCTCGTTTTCTTTTTTCATAGGGTTATGCCCTTCTCGTTTTACACTTAGTGCATGTGTAATGAATATTAAATAAGTTAGTAATGATAACATAATGTGTACCATTCTGATTTGTACAGAAGCGCCGTAGATTTGCACTTAACCAGCCTAAACAGACAGCGAATGAGAGAGAGATCAACTGAGCATGTGCGATTGCTTAGCATCGCAGTCTTAGCATCGACGCATTGCTGGTCAGCTGAGCCTTCTAACGTGGCGCGCAAAGTTAAAATGATTTCAACAGCGTGTTTCATTACGTCTCTCTTTGAATGAATCAGCGTTTTTGAACGTGTAGTTGAATGAACGGTTTAAAGACTGACTGACAGCCCGTCTAGAACGCGCAGGTGGAAATATCAATAGAAAGTCTCTAGTCCAGTCGGATTCGAGGATCAGAACGAACTGTTATACATATAGGCTAACAATAGCCTAATGATCTTATTGTCAGGTTTATGTTCTGTTATGTGGATCGTTATTTTGTTATTCTCTTCTGTTTGCTTCACTTCCTGTTTCAACGCTATTTGGTTTCGGTTTCATTGGTTTCTGAATATGACCTCGTTATATCGTAACACACACACACACACACACACATATATATATATATGGCGATAATACCGCATATTGAGCCACTCAAAATTACCGCAAGGGAAATTCCTTCACCGCGATAGCCCTAGTAATAATTCGAAAAAACAATGTTAGGTAAAATTCAAATTGCTGTTGTAATAGTGTTGTAGTGTTGTAATAGTTGTCTTGCACAACATCAAATTTATGTGTAAAATTGTAAATTCGTAAAACCTTTTTTGTGTAAATGGAATTTGAGTAAATAATTTAATTATTCTTACTAGGACTATCACTTAAACACAATCAACCAAGAATGGCTTACTAATTATTTTAACATAAAAAAGCCTTTACATTCTGCTTTATTAATGGTTTTACTCCAAAACTACCTGTGTTTTCATCAGCAGACCTGGATCAGCAGAGCGTGCACAGTGAACCGGAGGAGGCGTTCTCTAAAGATCTAGCGGAGTTCCCGTCGGTGGATGAGCTGCCTTCTATTGAACCGGGTCTGTTCCATTTCCCGTTGGGTGTTCTCGGGTCTGAGCAGACGGGAGCATCCAGCTCCGAGTCCCAGGAAGAACCGCTGTCTCCGGCCAGCCTCCTCATCCAGCACTTAGCATCTCCACTCCACTTTGTAAACACGCACTTCAATGGACACGGACAAGCGGCGGGGGCAGACCAAAGCATTGTGGGTACTGAGAAAGAGGGAAGGGGATTGGCCGAGGACGTTTCGAGACCCGCTCGGTCCCTGGAAGCCCTTAGTGTGGAGATAGTGAGCACAGCCATCTCTACTGTAGTACAGAACACTCTCTCAGCCCTGTTGCGATCTACGGAGGCCAGCGAAGGCGAAGGAGACCTTGCTTCGTTTCTTCCCACCGAAACGCCTCCTTGTCCGATTGAATCGCCCCTCGAGTCACCATCAACCCAAGAAGCCAGCGTAGAGGAAGAGGACGGTGACGTCACCGAAGCAAGCACCGAAGAGCAACCGGATCTCACGCTCGTACCCGCGGAGGAAGAGGACTTTGAGCTTCTGGACCAAAGTGAACTGGAACAAATGGATGAGGGGTTGGGCCTTGGTGTTGATGGACAGGAAGTGGGTGTGGCTTCCACAGACACACCCCCAAGCAGTCAGCAGCATGCAGACCAGCAGGATTCCTAGCTTCCCATCATCTAAACTGTTTATTTTATTTATAGTCCATGTAGATACATATACTGACAAAAGATTTGTGAAAGGTCATCTATGCCTTTATTTTGTTGTTTTCGGGAGTGAGATCACTGTGATTGTTGGTGGGCTTTTGTTTCCTGAGCAGGTGAATGTCCAAAATGTAAAATGTTTGACACAAATTCTAAAAGATTTTTTTTAACAGATCCAAATAGCCTCCAGCCTCAAATCCAGCCACTCAGATTTCAAAAGCGATTTAAAATAGATTTAGTTTGAATCATTTACTGTATGTTTTGACAAAGACCACATGTCTGCGACTGATGACAAGAGCCCTCTGGTTTATCAATCCCACGCTGACTATTGTCTTAAGGCAGGGTTCCTCAAATCTTGTTCTGGAGGTCCAATGCGCTGCAGAGTTTAGCTCCAACCCTGATCAAACTCACCTACCTGTGATTTTCTAATGATCCTGTAGATATTGATTAGCTTCCTCAGGTGTGTTTGATTAGGGTTAGAGCTAAACTCTGCAGGAAAGTGGATCTCGTGGGCCAGATTTGAGGATCCCTGTCTTAGGGTTTAATGCATCAGGTCGTGGGAACAAGCCATTTGGGCTGAATTTTAGGACTGTGGAAGGGGAGGATGAGCAGGATATGACTGCTAATTCTCAAAGAAACTTTGGTTATGTCAAATATTTATTTTAATCATCATAGCTAAACTAATATATTCTATAATATATTCCTATGAAATGGATGGTTTTATTTATTAAAATTGGTTAAAGTGAAGAATAGTTTACTATTAAATACGTCTCAAATAAAGAATGAAGTTTCATTAAATGTGCTAAACTTCTTAAAAAGTTTAGCACATTTGGCTGCATTTCAAATTTCTGAAATCGTTTTTAGAAATGATTGTTGGATTGTGCCATTTACTTGTTTTTGAGAATATAATCTATAAAGAACTTTTCACACAAAATTGATTGTGAATGCAGCGTAGCACACTTTAGCTGTCCGAAAAATTCCCCATTCTTAGTGCTTGATTTTTTCCCCCACATCATGTAGATAATTAGGAGTTTAACTCTGTTCATATTCATTCAATATATTATAATTAGATTATTTTGAATTTTTGTTTGTGTGCACATGCTCAAAGTTTGCAGGACTTTTTCTGGATTTTCATAACCATACCAAATACACTACTGTTCAAAAGTTTGGGGTCAGTAATTTTATTATTATTATTTTTTTTAAGTATGAATACTTTTATGCAGCAAGGATCAAAAAGCATTCATTTGACTGAAAGTGATTAAAGGATTTCTATATCAAATACACGCTGTTCTTTTGAACTTTCTATTCATCTAAGAATTCTGAAGAAGAAAAAAATCCACACAAATATGAAGCAACACAACCGTTTTCAATATTGACAATAATAAGAAATGTTTCTTGAGCAGCAAATCAGCATATTAGAATGATTTCTGAAAGATCATGTGACACTGAAGTCTGTAGTAATGATGCTGAAAATGCAGCTTTAGCATCACAGGAATAAATTACACCTAAAATATTAGAATAGAACATTTTTAAATTGTAATACTATTTCACAATTTGACTGTCCTTACTGTATGTTTGATCAAATAAATGCAGCCAGGGAGAGAGCATAAGTGACTTACTGACTCTAAACTTTTGAACGGTAGTGTATGTTGTATTGCATTGTAAAAATCACATCAAAAGGTCACAGATTGCCTGAAATATAATTCAAATGATAAACTAAAATGTAACTGTTCAAAGTTTGGGTGGAGTTTGTGCATGGGCTTGACTGCATTATTTTCCTTTTTTAATTGAAATGCACATAAGAGGGGAATCCTAAGCAAATGATTGAGCCTTATTTGTATGTATCATTGAGAGATGTACACAATAAGTCGTCAACGTATTTCTAGAGTTGACAATGTAAAGCTCTAATAGCATATTTGGGCTTATTTTTTTAAAGAATTTGATTATTCATTTCTCTTTATGTCAGTGTCAGAGGTCTCAGTGACTCCTTACAGTACGTGACACCGAATGAATATAATAAGATTTTATGATCCGATATATATTTTTTCATTATTAATCATACTAAAGGGAAATATCTTTAAAACTGGAAATGTGTATATAAAAACAATGTATATATTTAAAGGCCTATAACAGGGGATGCACCAATCTTTCACGCACAAAGAAAGTTTTACAGATCTGTTTATTGATTGGAGGCAGGCTGACATTCCTTTAAAGTCAAAAGTTATTCTTACACTGTGTCCTAACCAGTCATAATGTGGAAAAAAAAAATCTATTTTAATTAGAATTATGTTCAAGCCCCACCCACTGTAAAATCTGATTAGTCTAAAATCCTGCGCCAAATAGTTGCAAATATGGTCCGCGTTGCTGTGATTGTATTTTTTATTTCAATGTGGAAAAACAAACTGCTTGCCGCATCGCAGTTTTTTGGATAGGACATGGTGTTTTTGCTTTGCACGATAGAGTGCGTTTCGTCCCTTCTCCTGTAGATACCCTCAAGCTGATACAGACCGCATAGATTTGTGTTTTCAGATATTTAAGGAGAGATTATCTTTGTGTAATAGTGATTGTTTTGCTCATGCTGTTACTGCTTTATGATCTATAAAAAAAGCACTTAGAGCATTTAACTACAAAATATTGTTGAATGTCATTTTGCTACTCTGACTTTGACCTCCATATATCTCTAATATACACCCATAAGATGGTTTTCAACTTCAAATGCGTTGTGTTCATTTGAAAACAGCCATTGTTTTCACTGAATTGAACTGATATGCAAATTGTGAACTATAGGAGAATTGGACAATCCTGGTGTTTCTTCTTTGGAACAGATTTGGAGAAATTTAACATTACATCACGTTGCTTGATGGACTGGAGTCGTGTGAATTACTTGTGGATTATTGTGATGTTTTTATCAGCTGCTTGGACTCTCATTCTGACGGCACCCATTCAACTGCAGAGGATCCATTGGCGAGCAAGTGATATGTTAAATTTCTCCAAATCTGTTCCAATGAAGAAATAAACTCATCTACATCTTGGATGGCCTGAGAGGGAGTCCATTTTAAGCAATTGTTCACTTTTGGGTCGGCTATTTATTTGACGACCGTTTACACAAAGAACCAATTCTACGTTAGCGTCCACATCAACGGACAATAACATTGTTTTTATTATAATCGTGCACTGTAGTTTTGTCATCTGCTCAAGCTCTCTAATATCGATTGTAATCTGATTGGCTTTCAATGTTTTTATCATTCATCAGCTGGAAAAAAAAAACGCTTTGAAAGTGATTCCAACAAATTCGTTCCTCTGTGTCGTTATCATTATGGTTGTGGTGTGAACTTCCCTATTCTCATAGAATTAGAACGATTATTAAATCTTTATCGTTATAGTTATCGTCATTGGTGTGAGCACGTCTTTACACCCTCTGGTTGTGGTGTCATTTAGGGATCCAATATGAAATATTCTTTACCACATTCAGAATCGGTGGGCATTGAGGCAAGAAAGAGCATGATGAGCTGGCAGCAGAAGCCAAGGCAGATGGTCGCACTGGTGACTGTAATCTCGATAATTGGGGATGAGAAATCTCTGAGAACAGAAACATTACAGAGGTCTACGGTGTATTAAGAGAAAATGTCATGTAAGTGGTCTTGCCAGATGCTTTTTTTTAAAGCAAGGTGCTTTCATGGTGCATTTAGAAGATTCCTTTCAGGTTTTTGGTCATCCAGAGCAAGAGATTTTTGGGTTCGTTTTATAACACTGTAAACAACAAATTAGAAAATTACCAGTACCTTTTCTGTTTTTACCTATTTTTTTATTCCAGTGGGAAGGTTTGCACAGGTAAGCACCACTGAAACCACAGAAATTGAGTTAAAATCTCTTCCTCTGATCCAGTGATTTTCAACATTTCTGACTTGAAGGCCTCATATGTTTACATTTAACAAAAATATGAACAAAAGAAATGTGTCAAGTGTTGTGTACATACCCATCCATTATGCCCACATTCAGTAAAACTGCATGACTTGAATTGAAGCCTAACAGCAAGAGTCTCTCAAGAATTGAGCTGAACATTTTTATATGCCAAGGTCATCACACTTGTCATTTGAGGCATTCAGATTCTAACTAACCCATATAGCTATATATATATATATATAAAATATTCTTATTAGAATAATGATTTGTCATGTTACTGAAGGAGTGAGTCACTGAAGTCTACTTTTGGAGAGCCGTTATGCGTCCTTCTTCAATATTCTAGCAGCAATGTCTCTCTCCTAAAGCAAATGAATGCATAAAACAACATTGATTAACCAATGTGTTCTCATTAAAGCTGACTGTGCTACCAAGACGAATTTGTTAATTAAAGGCGCTACAAGCAATTTTGCTAACGTTTGCTAAACTTGGAGCATCTCAGACGTTTTATGATTGTTTAAAAAAAGGTTTGTATATTGACCAAACGATACATTGGCATTTAACACATTTATTTTTTAAACTTCTTGTACTCACCTTTCTAAGTTCATCAGCACAAGCATCAAGTTTTAGCCTCAACTCATCTGTAACAGTAACATCCGAGCGCACTGACCAGTGACCATTCCTGAAGCTCACAGGCATAGAAAACACCAAACCTGCTGGAATTCCAAACTGCCCTGCAGATTTACAAAGGCCGGTCATGCTGATCATGCATTTACATACATTATAAATTAACTATAAAATATACAGCCATATTTATTTGATGTTTGAGGATGATTCCAACGGTCTTGCCTGTACTAATTACACCCAATGAGAAGACGTCCTCCGGAGATGCATCATTATTCCAGGCCCTTAAAATGGTCATTATTCCATTGGTTGTTGATATTGCTGTGGCGTTTTTTGTTTTTGACGAAATTGTGGTATGGTGTTTATGTACTAAACTCATCAAATCTGTTTCCAGCCATTTCCTTATAAAAGAAAACATGCATAATTACATGAGTGACAAATAAAACAACTATTTCGACTATTTACGATATGTAAGGAACATGCATGTGTGATGCAATTGAAGATGCCATGTTAACCATGTTATGTTGCGTATGTATGTAGATTTTTTTTGTTTACTTACTGATAAAATTATACCCTTTATAATGATTCATAAATGGAATTGCATGAAAGAGCCACATGGCTTGAGTCATGCACCACAATGATATTTACCAATCATAAATCATTTCCAAGACTTGCTGAGAAAAACCATCTGGTCCCCAAATTGCACCATCATATCTGAAAACCTTCGCCCTCTGTAGGTCAATATGGTAAATGCCACTGATGTTTCCCCATACAATGACCTTAGTGATGTCTGTGAATATAGAAAAAAGGAACAATTTCAGCATGAACAACAACAGACAGTAAATAAATAATAAATAAATAATTTAATTA